CCCCAAAACCCCAAAACCCCAAAACCCCATAATATAGATTAATTTTGTTTATGGTTTCAAAGAAGGATAATAATTTATTAAATAATCTCAATGGCTTTACAAATCTACTCTAAGCATAATTAACTTGACAAGAATAACTTTTTCTAGGACTTAATTCTTAAGGCTCAAGGAAGCATAAATGATTTACCCTCAGTAAAAATTAACTAAACTTCAACAATTATAACAGATTATAAATATCGAGATATCAAAAATTAATGATAGAGTACATTAGAATATATTGAAAGGAATTGACAAGGTTAAAAAGGTATTATTCATTGATGTAACAAATTTAATAATAGGGTTAAGATGGAGCAAAAATATTCAGAAAAATTAAAGGAAAGCTAAAGAGGCATGATATTGAGGAATAATTGCTTTTCTTGACAGTACATTAAAATGCATTGAGCAAAAAAGACTTTGTACTAAATTACATCTTAATTTATTGATTTACAATATCCATTTAGGAAGCGAAAATGAAACTTATTAGAGATAATAAGCATTTGTTTGAGGAATACTATGATTAAGATGAGCTTTTGAAAGAAAAGCTAGGACTTATATAGCATTTAAAGTCTGTTACAAATTATCATGAGAGAATAAACTTAGAGGATTCAGTAATAGTATTTACAATTGTAATATTTTTAGGCTGCGGTTCAAAAAGAGGCTAAATCTTTTATTAAAAGAATAGTTAAGGAAAAAGAAGAAAGAGAAAAAAAGAAGCAATCATTTTAGAAATAATAAGAGGACAAATAGTAAAAGGAATTATAAGAAATTGAGAGAAAGAAAGAGGAGGAGAGACTGAAAATGGAAGAGGATTATAAATAAAAGAAGCAAGAAATCATTCATAAAATGAAAGAAAAAGAAGAGCAAAGGAAAAAGTTTAGAGATGACACAGCAGTTGCTGTTAAATAGGTAATGAGAGCTTAACCCTTGTATATGGTAATTGAATAAAAGTACAAAGAAGAGGTTGAATTACCTGAATTAGATCAACAAAAAGAAAAACTCAAGAATCTTAGAAATTTTTATAAGCCAATTTAAGAGTTGAACATAGATAAGCATTAACAAAATTATGACATTTAAAAAAGATAAATGGAGACTGATATTAAGAGACAAAGAGATTTAACTACGAGATCAATGAAGGATCATATTGCAGGTCTAAAATATAAGCCTCACCTTACAGATTTCAAAGATGAATAGAGATAGAAAATGGTTGAAGAAGAAGAACGACTTAGAGAAGAAAAGAGAAAGATTTAGGAAAAAATTGGAAATTATGCAAAATACGTGAAGGAAATGTACTGGCCAAAAGTAAGTGATATAAAAAGACAAGAGTTACAAGTTCTGAAAAGTAGTATTCTGACCTAGCCAAGAAAGAGAAGCTACTCAGCCAAGAAAAAGTTAGTTCCTTCACTTAATGATGACTAAGAGTACATGATAGAAAGCTCGCATAATGGCTTGTCTAATGTCCATAGCTTGCCCCAGTTAAGTAGTATTGGAGGTTACACACCTTAATAAATTCAGAGCAAGAAAAAATTGAATTGGGAGGGAAAGAAAAAGAGATAAGAAAGTGAGATTTATGAGAGAAGAAACTAAGTTGAAATGATTAAATCAGTAGATTATTTGAAAGATTAAAGATTTAAAAGAGACCTAGATGGCAAGAGACCTAAAATCATAGATGATAGAATCATGGATAAGTACTTAAATGATCAAAATATGACAGAGCATCAAAGACTAGAAGAAATAAGAAGAAGAGCTTATATCATGGAGTAGAGAGCATAAATGGACGAAAAGCTGATAAGAAATTCGATTAAAGGAGGAGATCCACAACTAAGTGTTGAAAAAACTATCGCTGTTAATGATATGTATTTGGATGCAATCCAAGCTAAACTTAAAATTCTTGACTAGATATGATTATTTTTTTATTTTTTAAAACTATCACAGTGAGAATATTTTAGTTCTAAGGGGTTTTGGGGTTTTGGGGTTTTGGGG